TCACAGAGAGAGATATGTTTAATGTGATACAAAAAACTGTGTCTGTGTGTGCGTTTGAAATGTTGTGAGTAAAGTCGTAGATTTGTGTGGACAGGTGACGAGAGCTGGACTCTACTGACGGCTTGTGATAAAGTAGGTAAGAGTTGTTGGTAATGTTCTTTAACGTCTGACCGCACGGTTAAGACGGGAACTCTTGAAGACTACATCTTGGCAGCGAGGAAGAAGTTGAATGAAGAGAACGAGAGAGGCTTATTCGTGTTTTGTTTATATAAGGTTGTGTCTCACGTGACAGGTTCCAGCCTTGTGCGCGCGAAAATTTTTCCTTGCGTGCAGGCGATTTGATGTCGGAATTGACCAATCAGCAAACTAGTGTTGAGGAGATTAGCCAATGAATGCTTGCCGTATGATCTGTATGTATGTATGGGTGTGTGATGGCGATGATGATCGCTACAGAACCATTCTCTTGAAGGGTAAAATCATGGATGCTGATAGAAGATAGAAAGTGTTCACTCAGACGATCAATAGAGACATTTCGTTTTGGGGGCCTTAAAATTAATAAACCGCTTCTTGGCACGTTTAAACTCAGATTGAAGACCATATTTAAGATCAGCTGTCAATTTGACCTTACCAAAGTTTGTATTAGGAAAGGTATAAATAGTTTTGTCATCAGTAAAGATATTGAGATGAGAACTGATAACATCTCGATGGTCTTTCGCGAATATTGTTAAGTAACTTAACAGTGTGGGAAAGACCTAAATAGATCAAGTGGATAATGCTAAGCAAATAGGCAATTTCTTCATGGCTTGTCCAAACGCATTATTTTCAAGAGTACTATCATGAGAACTTTTTCATACGACAGAGATCACGCCTTTTCCTCCTCCAAATTAGCCTAACTTTTCAGTTATAGCACATTACAAGCAAGAAGAGCAAGAAAAGAAACATATGTTAGAACATATAGTTATATCTAGCCAATCCAATACTGCGCTAAAATTCATAAATTCTAGACACTATACAGGAAAGTTCATCTTTGGATTTCATCAAGGATCTCTAAATATATATTAACCTACCTTTTCAGTAACAAACATTTGATTTTGTTCTTTCTGATCTGGATTGCCTATTTCTTGCATCGTCGTGCACATCATGTTGTACTTTGATGAACCGCCTGGTGAGATCAATAACAGTCGTTGTCTTTCTAAGACGCTGAAAGCTTTATTTCTTTGTAAAGTTAACTTTTCAATTGCATTTTTACCAATTTTAATACAAAACATTATGTTAATCTGTTGCTTCACATTTCTTCCGCTCATTTCACACCAGTAATTTTACATGAACACGTTCAACATTGGCTACTGCTTAGCAACGAATAAATTCTCTGGGCTACCTACAAAGAAAGTGAAACTTGAAATATGTTCGTACCTGCTCATGTACACATATATGCATGGCAGCGTTTACGAGCTAGGCGTTGTGTTCATATATAGAATTTGTCAAAGCCCGTGAATATGAAATCCAGAAATCCCTATCAATATCGATTTGTTATAACCGATTATTTCGGAAAGAACTATGTGAAATATCAAAGTCTGACATAATGCAGATATATTCTCTACTCACATCAACTTCTCATGTGCTGAAACTACATTCTCTGAAAACTCGTCAATATCAAATATTATAGATCTGCTTCTCGATGAAATTGAGGGTGAAGCTTATATCGCCTTTCCTTTTATAGTGATATCTTGGAAAGTTTTTTTTTTTCCTATTAAGTTTGACCTGTATCTTAATATATATTATTTTTTAGTACCATTGAGAAGAAATAAAAAAAGGGCCAGTCATCCATTATCCCTCTTGTTACCTCTCAATTCCACAAGAGATAATGTCTACTCGTCGATTCACCAAACACTTAAAAACTCCTACACGAATGTTTACCCACAGACATCATCGAGTAGGATTTTTAGCAAGCATCTCTAAATAAATCGTAGACAAAGCCGGCGGGGAAATCGTTCTGCTTCGACGTCTATACCAGGCGTCGATAGTCTTGTAGAATCACTTTCTGTTCAGTCGATCGCGAATTATTCCAGTTCTTACCGATTTTAGAGATCAAATTGCCGGGAGTTCTTCAAGTTATTTCAAGATGTTTGAGAAGGGTTCAGCTGACTAGACATTTTTTGTTTTCGCTGGTACTTAACTTTGTGAAATCTTTAATCATTATCTGAACGACTGGCCGATGTTTTCATATAGTTGTTCTTCGATTGGTGATTATTCTGTTCGCTTTTATAAGCGAGTCTATCCCATTATATTTTATTGTCTAGTAATTCTTTCTTATTTCGATCGGTTTTATTTATTTAAAAATCATTATCCAAATTATAACATTTTCTAGCTATAATATTTCTTTAAATATGAGCGAGTAAGCGGGTATTTTCCTTGACTTGAAATACGATTCTATAGTACACTATTTACATTATTCAGACTATTGTCCTCATCTTTGTCGCCATATATATGACAACCTTTCGGCCGTTGTTCTAGTTCCACGTGCCATCTTCAGGTGGTTGGAATGTCGAACTGAACTATTTATTTCGCTCACTGGGGTAGGTTGTTCTAGTTCCACGTGCCATGTCTACTCCAGTGAGCGAAATAAAGCGTTCAGTTCGACATTCCAACCTACCGGAGAAGGCCGGAGCGTACAACGGCCGAAACGTTGTGATAAATATTGCAACAAAGATGAGGATGATAGTCCGAACAATGTAAATAGTATAATAATAAGAATTTACAGACACAGGGCCTGTAAGAATTTTTTGGCTAGTTTACAATGAACACGGACAAAACAATCAAAATGTAATCGCCCAGTCATCGTGATCAGAGACCAAAACAAAAAAATGTACCTTTTTATTGACATGAAAAATCCCCATATTTTAATCTTCAAGGAACTATCAAAATACAAGCATCTTAAAACTGGAAATCTCAAATATGTGGAAGCGGGAGGATTATTTATTTCGCTCGCTCAGTAGAACTGTTCTAATTCGTGCCCATATTTAATGGATGTAAATTTTTTATCTCTTTTTTCTCCAAGAGTTTGAGTTCAATGGAATAAAAATAGTTAAGGCAGTGAAGAACTTGGAGAGGGGAATTAACAGGAGATAACTGATAGCTGACATCCATTAAGCATGGCACGTGCAACTAGAATAGTCTACCACAGTGAGAGAAAAAAAAAGGGTTCATTTCGACATTCCAAACACCTGAAGAAGACCGGAGCGTACAACGGCCGAAACGTTGTAATAAATATGGCGATAAAGATGTCGACAATAGTCCGAATAATTTAAATAGTGTACATAATACCTCATCTTAGAAATATAGACAGATTATATAATCATACAATTAACAATCTATTTACATGGTGCACAGGAAAACTATTTCTGTCAGAAATTATTGCCATATGATTAATATCATTAAAATATAAGTATATTCATTTATATTTGGTATGTTTGCAAAGCAAATGTTCTTTAAAGCATTTGATGTGAAAAACAATAAATATTTTGTACCTGTTATATGTAATGGCCATATTTTTGTACTATAAATATATTGTTTCGACAATGTTGTTTTTATTTGTGTATAATTTGGGCATAATTCTTGATGTGTGATGCAAGCTTGCAACACACAGTAATCATCATCATCAGTCGAGAGTGAAGAAAGAGAATTCATTGTTTTATAAACTAGAAAGTAACATAATATTGGAAGGTGTTTTTATTACCTGTGACGTGGGGCGGAATTAAATCGAAAGTATGTGTAATAATTTTGCAATTGTAAATATTTTCAGTAGGTGTTTGACACTATTTCTCATCATATTTTATCCATTGGGGCGAGTTGAAATACATCACTGATATCTTGTACATATCGTGGACTTTCTGTCGTTGATCGACGAGAGCTGTTGAACCGCGCCTGCCGGTGGCACTTTTTTACGACAGGTCAAAGCCACTCAGTACCTAGGAACATATGATTTGATAGGGTTAACCTTAGTTGAAAGTTTTGTGCAGAACCAACCACAAGTTTTGAAGAGCCGAATACACAGACCTGGTGCACCGTGTGGCACAAAGATCTCCAATCGAACCTAAGCAGGTTTATTCTCCTAGACTATTTTTCATCTATTAAACCCAGTCTGTCCTGCGATAGAAGAAGAGGATTCATACCTTTTCCAAGGGTATTAGCTCTTCCTTTGTTCATACATACATACATACATACATACATACATATATTAGTGATATCTGCCTGAAAAAATTACAGATATTATGCCTGTTAAGTTTTAATAAAATCCATACATATTCACTAATAAACTTCCATGTATTGTTGTTAAAGGATGACAGAAATGTGCTATAGCTGTTTAAATTTCTTTTCAAGTTAACATTATTTACTTCAATCTACGTTTTCACAAGGTCACTTTTACATTGCCAGGTGATATTGTTCCAGTGGGCTGCTGGATTATGTAATTTAAAATTTGTCTATTTACGCAGCGAATTCTCTTTTAGACATGTCTGATTGAATAAATAAAATCCGTTTGGAAGGTTATTCGTGAGTCTGAATGGATTTTATCTCAACAGAAGAGAATACACAAAGAGTGAGCGTGAACTTTTTCAGTTCCTGAAAAATACTTGGACATGTCTGCTATTTACTCTTTTTCAAAAGATGTTGAAAAAATCCCAAGAGTGCATAAATCAATAATTAAGCAGGTGGTGATTTTATTGACGGGTAAAGTGCGATGTTGTTGTATGAATTCACTGTAGTTACTGAAATTTTATCTTTTACTTTAAAAAGCACGAAAAAGTTTGTAAAGTTTTCACATGTTTTGGTCTCCAAATATGTTTGCCTGTAGCATAGATATATGTGAGCGCTTTTACTCTGGTACACTTACTTTATTTTGGTACAGTTACAGATCTTTCAGCCGACCTTCGCGCTTATTCTGGTACATATACAAGTTTTTTTTTCTATCGACCCACGCTTTTACTTTCGTACTCTTACAGGTCTTTCATCCGACCCTCGCTTTTATTCTGATACACTTACAGGTCTTTCAGCCAACTCTCGCTTTTATTCTGATACACTTTCATCTTTTTCAGCCGACCCTTGCTTTTCCCCTGGTACCTTTACAGATCTTTCAGCCGACCCTTGCTTTTCTCCTGGTACCTTTACAGATCTTTCAGCCGACCCTTGCTTTTCCCCTGGTATCTTTACATGTTTTTCAGCCTACCCTTGCTTTTCTCCTGGTACCTTTACAGGTCTTTCAGCCGACTCTCTTATACTAATATTTAGTTATTGATCAGATTTTGGTAGTGATTCTAGTTCAAAAGCATTCAGTGTCCCTTTTGTATTGATCTATTAATTTTATTGATTAGAAAATTTAGCTATATTTTCTTTTCATGAGCCTATGTCATAGATGTAAATTTCTTCAAAACACATTTCGGCTAATTGTAACAATAAAATTGGTGCGGCTGCGCACTTTCAATCATCTCCTCGACCTAACAAATTAATGTATTTTCATTATATGGCCCGAAGTCAAATTGTGAAATTACTCTAAACACGTTTTGGCCAATCGTTACAAGAAATGAGTCTATTCATTAACAATTTAACACCTAGTTGATTGATTGGAACACGTTTTTCACTCAACACAAGAACGCACTAACACAGGATTATATTCACTATTCCTCGCGAGATATACGCAAAAGAAGAAAACATTCAGAAATCTTCATTGCCACAAACGTGTCCGAAGGAAACATGGACTGGACAAGAAACATATACTATATATATATATATATATATATATATATATATATATATATATATATATATATATATATATATATATATATATATATATATATATATATATATATATATATATAATATATATATATATATATATATATATATATATATAGACAAATTAATGCGATTCCAGACAAGAATGGCACATATTGTTAATAAAGAATAAATTCTTTTCGAGAATCTGGGGAAAAGCTTGCTCTACCATTTTTAGAATATATCTCTTTTCCTCTTCCTCTAAATGTTGCTATTTGTCTCATTTATAATAAAAATAATAATAATAATAATAATAATAATAATAATAATAATAATAATAATAATAATCATAGTAACTCTCGTACTGAATAATGCAATTTTTTATAGTATTTGCAACGTGTATTTTCAACGATGTTTATATTGAATAAATAAAGAAAATTTCTCGTGACATATTTGCTTCAGTGATTGAAAATTTTCGCGTCGAAAGATTCATTAGGAGCAGACGATTGAAGTTATTAGGACATCTCATATTTATGTAAATTATTATATAAAAAAAAACTCTAATTCTAACTTCTAAGTTTTAAATGTCAAATTCATAAAACGCATGCGTTTCGTTAGATACGACCCAAAGTTTAAATTTGAATCAGTTAATATATATATATATATATATATATGTGTGTGTGTGTGTGTGTGTGTGTGTGTGTGTGTGTGTGTGTGTGTGTGTGTGTAAAAAAAGAACAGTAAGATATATGATCCGGTGTTCTTATTTATATTTTCAGTTTAAAAAAATAGTGCTCAATATGAATTTACAGTAAATTAATATTATATATTAACTGATTTTAAATATGTTTTTCGCTACACAGTAATAACCATGTTTCAAAAATGGAAGCTAAACGCTTCAAATGTAAGTTTGTAATTAAATTAAAAACATTTTACATTTGTAATTAAGGGAATTGTAATTAACATTAAAAGCATTAGTTCAATTTCATCCTCGAGCGAATTCGCTTGAGGATGAAATGGAGCTAATGTTTTTGATTTAATTATAAAATTAAATTTGAAGCTTTTAGATTCCATTTTTGAAACATGGTTATTACTGTGTAGCGAAAAAATAATTTAAATCAGTTAATTTATAACATATATATATATATATATATATATATATATATATATATGAAGAAATATAGTCTTAAGATGTGCTATATTTATGGGATAAAGTGTTCAATATCAGAGATACAGTGTGTAAATATAAAAGTGTACTTAGAAGTCAAAACTTAGAAGCAATAGTCTGTTTTATGGTAGACGCATTCTTCAGGGCCTGTTGACTTCTATGTTGATTTTAATATATATATATAAAAATATATATATATATATATATATATATATATATATATATATATATATATATATATGTACCGTCTCGTTTATCAGAGAACTAAGCGCTATCGACACCCATAGTTCAAAATTCAACCATGCTTGTTGCATTCACTTTCAGAGTAATAATTTGTAGTGACATCATAATCATTCTGTTTTACGCACCCTAGTTATGGGTTAGCTCTCGATAGTGGGATCTCTAGCCATTGGTGGCAATTGAAGGTGTACAGCATCAGATTAAAAACCGTGGAAAAGTTAACGATGAACGACACCGCAGTGTTTCCCAATATGCTATTGCCGTTCACAAATAATGAAAGAAAGACCGTGAGTGATTTCGTCCCTAAGCGCTACATAATTAAAAACAGAAAACAGATCGCTTCATGACGTTAGCTACATACCAATGGAATTGTTATCTTTAAACAATATATTTGATATTAGGTATTGTAACTATTTTCTTTCCATTTACATTGTTCAGAGTGTTGCATTCATCATTATTCTCACATCCACAATCTTTCGGCGTTATCTCTGAAAAGGTTTGATTCGAAACTCCAATATCTATCACCTGCATAAGGCTGGAGCGTACAACGACCGAAACGCCGTGAATATGAAACTAAACATGACGACTCCCGTTCGAACATTGTAAATAATTATCAATTCATGTTTAGATTTTAAGTACTATTCTCCATAATTTTATTAGCACAGGTATTCCATTATATTTTCATATTGCAGTCACTCAAAACTATTGTCATCGAATAAGTCTGATTCAACTGTAGCAATAAGTTTTCGCTTTTGATAGTTGTCGTACCATTTTAGATTTGTTATGTATCCGTGGGAGTAATGGATAGCGGTTCGAATTCAGGTATCGGAGAGCCGAGTTCGAATTTCATTCGAACCCATTACATTGATTTACGCGCTATTACCATTGGAAAAGGTATGCATTCTTTTCTTCTCCTCCCAGCTATGGATAAATAACAGGAGAGACCGGGTACTATGGACTTTGATGGCAACTGGTCTACCGCAGAAAGAAATGGCAACCTACTTTGGTAAAAAATATGTTTTGTTAGTCATTTATCGAAAGAAACATGTGCCTAAACGTGTGTCGGTGAGAAGAATGTTTTTTTTCTCCTGCTCTTGTCAATACAGGCAGTATTTTCATAATTCATTTTTCTGACCTACAAAGTTACCATTTAACCATTACTCTTGGCAGCATGCATCTCTGAAAATTTTCTGCAGTGTAAAGTTATTTTCCAAGCGTAACATAGATGTGGCACAAAGTCTTAAGTATGGAGCACACGGTGATGATAGAATTCACTAATTAGTCGTAATTGATCTAGCGAAACAAACTTGTTAACCTTTTCACCACCTCGAGGTGCACTTTCTGCTATGTATAATCTGCGTCATTTTGTTACCATTATCCGCTGTTATCTTGTAATTTTTTATTTTTTAATTTTTTAATTTTTTATTTTTTTTTGGCCAGCGTGTCCATTTAGGATTTTTACTGCATTGATTACTCAATGAATTTTCTCAATTTTATAAAGTTTTACGCGATAAAGCTTTTCGTAAAATTGAAAAGCGCTTGATCTAACCTATCATTTTCTGCATGTCAAATCTTCAGATGAATCCCATTTTTTGTTTTACCAGTCTAGAACATTAAAGCTAAGATATGTTATGCTACTTCCACTGAGTCGAATCACAGGCGCATCATCAATTGTAAAAGGAAGATCCACTCAACTTTTTCCCAAGAACTGCAACATTGTGTGAGAGATTCTCGTGTAGATGCTTCCCTGAATAGGTCAATAATAAATTCTTCTGATCAAGGGTTAAACCATATCTATCCACCTTAACCTCATAATCATTAAAAACCTCATACATTTCGCTGGAGTGGCTCTCGAAGCCTGTAGTAGGTAAAGATTATTTTAAAAGAAGGAAAACTTAAACGAATGTATCATATTTTTATCGGTGGACATATAAAATAATATTAGCATCTGTTACTAAGTTATTCGCTCATTCTTTTCTTCCCTCACTCTATATTATTCTCTCTCTCTCTCTCTCTCTCTCTATCTATCTATCTATATATATATATATATATATATATATATATATATATATATATATATATATATATATATGCATCTATGTACATGTATCTGTCTATAATTATTTATTTCTACCTAAATGTGCAATTCAACCATGTGCTATTTTGTCACGACATTAGATATTATCATGGAAGTCGACATTTCCCCAATAAAATTTTATTAACCAACTGAGGATGGTAATATTTTTAGTGTATACTTCTGTTCATATGATCAATGCATTGAGATTCATCTGATAATATTTATCCTCCTAAAATATATACATAAATTGCTTTGGTGAATCAATGTTTAATGTTTTATCTTGCAAACAAAAAATTCATAAATATTTATATATAAATATGTAGGTCATAAAAACCTATATATCACTGACACAGTATCACATGAATGTGAATAAATCATGATTTAGTTACTTTCATATGATAATATGAATGTGTATCATGATTTAGTTACTTTAATATGATAATAGAGGCTGTTTCGTATTTAAAAATATTCGTCAGAGTCTTAAAAAACCTGATATTGTTAATGTTATACAATTTCGAAAATAATATTACATGCAGCAATTTGTAATTCTTTATACATACATACATATATATATATATATATATATATATATATATATATATATATATATATATATATATATATATATATAATCTCGGTTTCGAATCTCACCATTTACCATGAAGATGATATGAGGAGTTAATAACCTGGAGGTGGCGATCCCAACGTGTGGAACCATTTATTCTTGCAACATGACCCCAGTCCAACGATGTTGTGACTACATCAGGATTTTATCTCAATTCCACCAATGTTGCATTTTAAGAGAGGATCTTCAATGGACAATTTGTCGCCAAATGTATCACCACAGATCGCGCGGAGACAACTTTTGTGGAAGCCATCCAGCTGAATTATCTGGAAACTATATGGTTCCTGAATTCTGAGCCGTACAATAGTGGGGTCATATATATATATATGGATCTCTCTTTTTATATTGGGTTGATTTATTTCCTGTATTTGAAACCTGCCTCTAGTTCTGGTCATGT